TTCAAAATGACTGTGTACAGTAAGGAGCTAGAAAAAGGAGATCTAAAGAGATTTTTTTCCCATCTAGAAAGAGTAATAATTTGAGCACAATTGTACATTGATACAATAGTGATCATAAGTATTGTTTATGTGCAATACATAACACTTAAGGAGTTTTTAATTGTGCGAAAAAGCAGTGTATTGTTACATAGGCTTGTTGAAAGGCTTGTAGTGTTGTTCATAGGCACTAAATCAGGGTATCCGTGCTGATGATGGGGTTAGGCTAGAAGCACAAATAAAATTGATTCATGAGGCATACCTGCTTTGTCGGTGAAGTCGGGTCAACCTGTGGGAAGCCTCGCGTTGTCCCCCGCAACCTGGCCGCTATATTGGCAGCCAATTGGCAGCCAGGATGTTGCCATCCTCCGGCAGCTTTTTGCAAAGCTGATGTTTGAAAGAACAATGAGATATTCTGCACGCCCAGCTTCCTCTTTAGGTAGTCTTTGTGTTACAGCAAACCAGTACTGATGAGGAAAGGTGTGTGTGTAAGGAGTGAAGGGGTTTATTAATGAGTGCCAAATACTTCTATTTCGAGTTGAAAACACACAGAGTATCTCATTAAAATCAATGTTGATTTTTAAGGGCTTCTTTCTATGAGGAAAGTATAGTAGTTTCTCATAAAGGATTAACACTCTAGCCTCTGTTACCATTAATATCAAATAATCCTATAAGAATTAAAGACTGTAAAGTATTTGAACAGTATAAAGCCATTAGTTGCTGGCACAGCACAAGTAGTAATGTACAGAGGAGACGAAGCAGTGGTTGTAGTTGCTATTTCAGATACCACCACCTTCCTAGCATAGCTTCTCTCTTTCTGTCTGCTGATGAAACTGTAACCCTGTTCTGTAGAGTGACGGTTTATGGTTGTGTGGCTGGGCTTGAGGTTCAGTGTCAGGACTTCCCAGAAGCACCAGATAAAAATGCACAGTGGAAGAGAGTAGTTAGGAGGGTGATAAGCTAAAGATCACTTCTCAGCTGGTATCGCCCTCCATAAAAAGTCAGGGATAAAAATGGGCTTACAAAGAGAGCTACTGTTGATGTATTTTAAAATAGTTACTTTGCAGGCTCAGATGCCACAGCTGGATGCTCTGTGAAGACCTGTAGTGCCACCACCTCCTCCGGGTGGGTGTAGCGACAGCCCAAAGGTTGGTGGTCTTTGGCGCTTTTCCCCAAAGAGTGTGGTAGAACAAACTTGACAGTAATACAGTGATGTAACATCAGTGCATTAATATTTGCTTTGGCTGCATGTTGTGGCTTCTCTGTAAAAAATAAAATTCAAAGAACTTAAAATGGGTTTAGAAGCACTGCAGCAACCATGGGAGTTCTGCCACATCGGGGTAGATGGGGGTTGTGTAAACGTTAATTACGGGTTGAGAAGCTGAACCACACTGCTAAATAAAATATATCAGCAGCCTTACCCAACCTCTTGCAGTTCCAGTTCTGAATATGTTAATGAATCAGAAGGGTGAGATTAACCCCACACCACAGAAGCATCTGAAATGTATGTTCTCAGAAATAACTTTGCCTTCATCTGGTGTTAAATGAATTTTAAACTAGAAAATCTCCCTTGCTTGCCAAGTCTGTAGGGATTAGTTATTTCATGATCTTCTGAAATGCCTGGTGCATTACTATATTTGAGATATTTGCTGGTTTTTAAATGGAATTAGGTTTTGTAAATATTTTGTCAACCCCATTTCAGTGGGTGTCCAATTTATATAAAACCTGAAGAAATGCTGTGTCAAAAAAAAATGTGTTTAGACATAGTTTACCCTATAGCATCTCAAGCGCTCAATAACAGCAATTTCAATTTGAGAGAGCAGGGAGTGATTACTTAAGGTTGTTTTTCAAGTTAACATTGCACGAGCTTTCCTACTTTGAACATAGAAACAGAATTTCCTCCAAATACATTTTCCAGCATAAAGGATGAAATAATTTGTGGTGCCAAACACTTCACACTATGTTGCTAAGCATTGCCTCCTCTTATTGCACTAGTTCTAAAATTCAGTTTTTGATCATTTACTGTCCTTTTGATGGCCTTTTTAACAGATTTTTTTTTCCCCCCAAACAATTTTCTACTGCTTAAAAATGCTCATGTCCTTTTGATTACATTACTGAAACCTCAAAGAAATGTAACACAGACAGTGGGTGAAAGAAGCACTTTGTGGGATGAAGTAATAAATCAGAATGATAATTGGACTTTGATATATTGCAGAAATGTAAGATATACGATTGAGATGTGATTGTGTATTCTTACAGAGTGATATACTGGAATATTCTTTTATGAGAAGTTTTAGCCCACATAGCATTAAATTCTGCAATTACATCTATAATTGATATTTAATAATGTAAATTATAACCCCAAAATTAAATTTTATGGTTGAAGAGCACATGGTGAACTATGTAAAAATATGATCTTCACTTTGTGAATCATTTTTTTAAAAAGCACTTTCCTGTTACCAACTAGCATGTGAATGAATTTTAGATTCTCTCATTTGTTATGATCTGTAGAAGTGAAATTTCTTTATCTGTTAATGGGTAAATTCATCATATAAATGCTGAAACAAAGCACCTTATACTATGCTGCTTAAACTTGCTTGTAATTGCACCTTTTGTTATCTGCAGATTTTTCTTAATGAGTATTCTTGTGCGGTATCATTGTTCCCTGTGGGTCTGAGTGGATGATTAACCAACCTGCAGCATCATTTACTTAATAGTTTCTATTTCAATACAATATTGTATTGTGAGTTCAGTGCTTCAGAAATAAATGCTACTTCCATTTGTCTGCTTTGGTTGTGTATCATTTATTTATCATCTAAAAAATTAAATCAAGACCTTCATAAAACCTGTAAGAATTTGAAAATTAATAGAGTATTTTTGCTGCTAGAGCGGCTGTGTGGCGCTCGGTTAGCGGCTGGGGTTAAACCATGACACTTCCACAAACTTAACTATTTTAATTTCAAAGTAATTTTGGCTTCAAAATAAATTCTATTTTCATTTAAGCCATTCTTTAACCTTGGGCATATATTTATGTATAGCAAGTAATCGTGTTGCTTATTGCTGTGATTGTAATTAATTTTTAATATGCACATACATACATTAGAATAGTAGCAAAGAAATAAACATCAGGACCTTTCCCGGAGTTGTGGAAGTTGCACATCTTGCACTATTTTTGTACTATGTAAACAAAGTTTGTATTTCTGCAGGAGTTGTAGCTTTACATTAACTAGAACAATTTTTCTCATTAAACAGACAACTCTTAACTTAAATCAAACTGACAAAAAGTCACACTTTAACAGGAAAATACACTTCACAAAGTCACGGAAGTTCTTTGAACCTTTGACAGTAGGTGAAGACATGTACATAACCGATAAAAGGGCTCCAGCTTTCAAGGAGACTTTATTGCATTTTGTACTATAAAACCTGAGATTGTTCCATTTACAGCAAGTATGAAACTCTAGTAATAAACATAAAAAACCCACCAACTTTTCCATTAAAGTTTAAGTAGTGGTCTTTTCTTAAACCCGTACTTTCAAGTTACCTTCTCTGACCTGGCAGGTCAGAATCCAGCATGGAAGTGTGTGTGTCCCACGCTCTGGTGCCATATTCATTACAATAGCGGTAGAATTAAATAATTTCCATGGCTTGTAGCTCTGGAGGTGTTTCCTTGTATTATCTGTAAGGACACAGTCACAGAACGTCAGAGTACGTGCTTCTGTTGCGCAGCACTTATTTGCAGGCTTTTCAGTCAGCAGCTCATTAGCAGATCACAATTACTGTGCCAGGCTTATCAGCTGGCTCTGTGTTTTCATTGTTAAATGGCATAAAGCAGAATTTCCAGCTGACAAATGGATCTGTAGTCCACATCTCTTCTGTCAATTCAACATCGTGACATCGACACCAGTATGCTACTGCAATGAGAAAGCTGTTGATGAAGTACAGCCAGGGAACGTTCATCTCCATGTAGGCTGGAATCCGAGCACCGAGAAACAAAACAATAATTTGAAGAAGAACAAAAGGTGCCCAAGTGCCAAGAAAACAGATGAGGAGTCTGGTCAGGAGCTGCCACTTAAAGCAAGTGCCGTTGTTGGTAGACACATAGGAGAACATCAGAACAGGCTGGCTGGCAAAGGAAGCCACCCTGACAGACACCAGCATGGCGACAACTTCCTCCCGACAAGCCAGGAGAGCCATGCCTATGAGCAGCACCATGGCACATGAGACTGAGTAGCTCTGCACACTGGCATAGAGAGGACACTGATAAGGAGAAAAATGCATCTGAATTTCTAGTTCTTCATGGATAGCGGGAACTTTCAGAATACAAAAAAACCCTGAAATCCATATAACAATCACAGCAAATACATAAAGCAATCTCTGACCTCTTTTAGGAAATTGAGAGGTTTGGGCTATAGTCATGTAATAATCCAGACCAGCCACAAGATATACCGGGTAATGCAAAATACCATAGGTAAGAGAAATTATCTGAGTGAACAGGCAAATGTGGTACTTTGTAAATCGCACACCCCAAAGTGCAAAGTCCTCAAAATAGAAAATGAAAAATATACTCAGCAGCAGTGTGAAATCGAGAAGTGCCAGTGAAACACAAAAGTATCCCATAAAACTGACTTTCACATTTTTTTGCTGAACTTGCAACATGAAGAAATCAAGGAACACTTTTCCGAGCATAATCAGGAGCAACATGCAGCTCATTTCAAGAGGCTGGTTCACCTGGGTGTAGAGGTACTGACCAGAACAATTTTCAGAGAGTACAGCAGCCATCCTCCAGTAGTAAGAACCAGCAAAATAAATATCACAGAGCACAGTGCTTCATATCTAAAAAGAAGAAGAAAAAACTTTGTAAAAATTTATTTCTGGGGTATCTCTACCAATTAGTTAATTCTCTATTACAGCAACTACCAGATTTACGTCTGAATTTTCCAGGCTCCTTGACAAAGAGTAAATAGGTCAACATAGATCTAAGCTACTTCCCTAAGGAAAAGTTGAAGAAATAAGGTTGACTGTGCTCCTTTCCTTCAGAAAGCACGAGGGTCTCTCTGTCCAGCTGGGCAGAGGGATGGATGTTTCAGAGCTCCTACATATTTTGAAGAAATTTGATAACCACATAGCACAGAAATCATACAAGACACAGGAGATATTATGGTACGGCCTCACAGTTCATTATGCTCATAGACTCTATATCAAGACTGCAGAAATATCCTGAAAACAGAAAAAGCATCAACCCAACTCATCCTTTTTAGTTGCTAAAAATCCTGGAACCCTGTGGCAATACAAAGCACACATGCTTCATTAGTTGGCATTTTTTGTTCATCCTTTAGCAATGTAAGCACTACAAAGACACCTCAGAACAGCTGGTCTTCTCTTGGTTCTCCTTAAGTTTCCTTATGATAACTCTTTTCCATGTGTTAATTCCTAAGGAAATTGAACATAGGATGGCTTCATGTATGTCAGCAAGACGTGTTAGACAAAGCTGTATATGCTTTCTTCTCTCTTCCCTAAAGAAGCAGGATGGTGTCAGCATTTTCAGCAACAGCAGAGAAAAGCTGAGAAGCCAAGGCAACTGTAAAAAGGAATCACTTCTTAGGATCTCTGTTAACTCACTTGTATTTAAATAGACACATTTTATTAGTAGCTCACCAGAGTTAGTGAACAGTTGAGTTAGTGTCTCCTGAAAAGCAGAACAATTAGAGGTACCTGGCAGTACAACTCGAGATGTATCCTCTGAACTCAGTTACAAGCCTACCTGGGCTTGCCACTTCCCTCTTCATCTGCACCAGTACATTTCATCCTTTAAAGCCGAACGCATTTTACAGTACAACTTAAAATAGCCTTCTGTGTGTATTTTGTCTTCTTATACTTGTTTATGCAGAAAGAAGGAAATCTGCATGCAAAACAGGGTCATACCTGTACGCGGTCCCTCAAATCCACTTGTATTACTGCAATGCAGAATCACCTGTACCCAGGCGAGGCCTTTCGTCCGCTGTGCAGAGACCCGGGCCGAGGGGCAGAGGCGTTACCGCCGCGCTGGAGCTG